GGTGTGACCCCCATCGCATGTCACCTCCCAACACCCCCTTCCCTCCGCCCAGCATGTATGACCACCATCATCCGTCATCTCCAATTCTCGGTATCTGTTCCTATTCTGTATGTATGGACTCTGCACAGTACCACTTCCATTGTCCTGTATGCCGGGTGTCATTCTCGGTATCTGTATCCCCGCCCCCCCTCCTGGTTGGGCTCCCTCTCTGTTGCCCCTGTACGCAGTCCTCTCTCTGGTCCTCCTCTGCCATCATGCTGCTCAGTATCAGGTCCCGGAGTTCCTGGTATCGGTGCTCCTGGTCCCGGAGTTCCTGGTATCGCTGCTCCTGGTATCGCTGCTCCTGGTCCCGGAGTTCCTGGTATCGGAGTTCCTGGTCCCGGAGTTCCTGGTATCGGAGTTCCTGGTATCGGTGCCCCTGGTATCGGAGTTCCTGGTATCGGTGCTCCTGGTCCCGGGGTTCCTGGTATCGGTGCTCCTGGTACCGGAGTTCCTGGTATCGGTGTTCCTGGTATCGGTGCTCCTGGTCCCGGGGTTCCTGGTATCGGTGTTCCTGGTATCGGTGCTCCTGGTATCGGAGTTCCTGGTATCAGTGCTCCTGGTATCGGTGCTCCTGGTACCGGAGTTCCTGGTATCAGAGTTCCTGGTCCCGAAGTTCCTGGTATCGGAGTTCCTGGTATCGGTGCTCCTGGTCCCGGAGTTCCTGGTATCGGTGCTCCTGGTATCGGAGTTCCTGGTATCGGTGCTCCTGGTATCGGAGTTCCTGGTATCGGTGCTCCTGGTACTGGAGTTACTGGTATCGGTGCTCCTGGTCCCGGAGTTCCTGGTATCGGAGTTCCTGGTCCCGGAGTTCCTGGTATCGGTGCACTTGGTCCCGGAGTTCCAGGTATCGGTGCTCCAGGTAACGGAGTTCCTGGTATCAGTGCTCCTGGTATCGGTGCTCCAGGTCCCGGAGTTCCTGGTATCGGTGCTCCTGGTCCCGGAGTTCCTGGTATCGGTGCTCCTGGTCCTGGAGTTCCTGGTATCGGTGCTCCTGGTATCGGAGTTGCTGGTATCGGTGCTCCTGGTATCGGAGTTCCTGGTCCCGGAGTTCCTGGTATCGGTGCTCCTGGTCCCGGAGTTCCTGGTATCGGTGCTCCTGGTATCGAGGATGAGGATGGAGAACGCCCCGACACAGGGAGGGCGCGCTGGAGATATAAAGCCCCACGCACCTTCAAATCCAGCACCCCACATGGATATTTAGCTCCTCCCACTCTTCTATCCCCCGTGTGGTCGGCACCGGAAGGGTTAAGGTCGGGGGAGAGGGCCGAGTTCTATTTCTGGGGTCTGATCAGGTTTCGGGGATTAGTTGGCGGTTCCTCTCAGCTGTGATGGGGCATCGAATGTCCGTCCAGCACCCCCCCCCCCTCCCCCCTGCTATGTAGAGGATGAGTGTGAAGGACGCCAGTAGAAGGGTGTTATCCTGAGCTTCAGTCTGGGGCTGAGGAGGAGCTGTGCAGGGTAGTCTCCAGGCTCTCTGCAGGCCCGGCTGGCACCATGTTGTGGTCATTACTGGACTTTTTCCTCCATCATGTCCTCCTGGCCTCCGTCTGCTGCTTTGTGGCCTCCGTGGTGCTCCTTCATTGTTGGACACGATTCCGGAGCTCCATGAAGATAGGCCGAGCCCAGAAACTGCGAGACCACGCCCTCCGATCCATGGAGAAACATGGCGGTGACTACAAGAGACAGGTACCCTATGGGGGGGGGGATACCCCAAAATATGATCACTTGTCCCCCAATACAACCTCCATCATCCCACAGAGTGTCAGCTCTGCAGCCCACACTCCCCCTCCCCGGCCTTTCATTCCCAGGCGGGTGACAACGCTCCTCTACAGGTTGGCGATATTATGTCTTCCACTGACATCCCATTCCAGCAGCCTCCTTCCCCTGTCTCCGGGCGCAGAGGAGGAAATCTGGTTGCTATGGGTGATGTCCGTGTACAGTGTCATTGTTGCTATGGGTGATGTCCGTGTACCGTGTCGTTGCTATGGGTGATGTCTTTGTATATCCTCTATGACAGAAGAACTGTGCCGCCCATACGACCAATCACATAATGAAGGGGGAGGGGATTGGTTGGTCTTCCCGGCGCTCCCAGATCTCACTTCATATTTTTATCACTAAGGGGACATTATTCATCAAAACAAGTCTGACTTCCTGTCAGGGATCCCAGTTCCCTATGGGGAAAACACTGACCTTGGAGTTCTCCTTTAATGGATCACTTGGTCATAACATAATCACATGTTAATATGGTGAAGATTTACCTGCAAATGAGATCTTGTCATTAATTTACCAATCTATTGGATTTTCAAGAAAATATAGTGAAAGTGTTCCATCGGCTATAACTATAGACTTCAGCGGCAATGCAAATCCACTAACCGCTAACCGAGATGTGGCTATTATAAAGGAAAACCGAGATGTGGCTATTACTCATGTGAATACCTTACGTTCTCATAGAAAGAGATGATCCTCTAAACTCCATCCACTGGATAACTAGCTGAGACCAAATCCTTCCTGCCAGCATCCACCACACTATACCAACGAGAACTAAACCTTTTCCCGCATGAGGGGCTTTTCTGTTTCCTGTTAGCAACATATCCACTTTAGAAGGTGAAATAAGGACTGCCCACGAAATATGTGTACCTTGTTTCCCCCGAAAATAAGACCTAGTTGTGACCATTCCCAGGGCCGGTGGCGGCATAAGGGGGAACCTGAAGAGCCGCAGGAGAGAATCAGCGGTGCCAACGAAGCCAGCGCTAGAGGAAGCGAGGCGGCAGCGGAGGCAGCAGAGCCGCATAAGCCGCCGCCTCCTCTATAGCCCCGCCTCCTGTCACAGGCGGAGTCATACCAAATGCACTCCGCCTGTGATGAACCTATAGTGAAAGTGCGCTTCGCTTTTTCTGGTTACCAAATTGCTCTTGGAAAGGTACGGCGCCCTGATCACCCGATTCTTAACTTTGCCATTTTGGATTATTTAATTTGGATTGTTATACATTAAAAAATAAAAATAAGACATCCCCCGAAAATAAGACCTGGTGTGTTTTTTTGAGCCAAAAATTATATAAGACAGCGTCTTATTTTCGGGGAAACGCGGTATGTGTGTTTACGTGAGACAGCGCTGTCACTCTTTCTTATGTTTCCAAATAAAATCTAATATTTTTTCACATAACGGTCTGATTTAACTCTTTCTGGGTCAGCGCACAGAACGGTGCTTGCGACCAATCTCTTTCTGTTATTGCACATGCCACCCAGTTACAGGCCATATATAATAAAAGACGACCACCATTCCCCCATCGAGGGTTTTGGCTGTCTGATGGTGTCTCCGGGGAGTCCCCCTGCTTTTTTGACTCCCAGCAGTGCTCCTTGTATTAGACCTCTGCCATAGGCTCTCTATGGGGGGGGAGGGGGGACGGATAGGTAATCCGGGGGTGATGGGGTTTCTATTTTCTGCCGGTGTGACCACATCTGATCCACAGATTATAGATGAATTATAATAGGATGGCGGGGGAGGGGCAGAGCTATTTCTGGCCCCATTGTCTGTGCCAGGCCGGAGGGGCAGTGCCCATTCTCCTCTTTGTCCCGGGAAGGTGGCGGACGGTTTTGCTGGGAGATGCTGAACTCTCTGCGGTTCCTCTGGTCTGGCATGGTGGCCGCTCACCTGCTGGTGGCCATCCTGTGCTGTACGGTAGCCGGATTGCTGATCACGCGATGGTTGGAGCGGAGGCGGAGCTATCAGAAGATTGGGAACGCCGGGATCCAGAGAGAACATTCCCTGAGACTCATGGAGAAGGCCGTGCTGCAATATCTGGAGCAGGTGAGAGGTGTTCTGGGGTCACCATTATGGGGCCCGGCAATTCTGGGGA